TAATTCCAAAAATATAGTCTCAAACAGGAACCTTTTGCAAAGAAACTAAACTCCATGCATTCAACTTTTATCAAGTAAAGAATCATATTATGCTGAAGTCACAAAGAAGTGAAACCAAAGCTAGCTCTGTTCAAACTGACCCATCATTAGGACCCTCCTTACCTCAAGTTTAATGTTTCATAAAGCTTAGAGGTTTAGACAAAGAAATGAGTCATGAGACATACTCTCTGATGTGAGAAAACTATTCATGCACATATAAATGTAATATGTATTAATAATTAGAAAGTAGAGCCAAACTCATTTACAAATGTTGATCAGTGGTGCCAAACACCACTTTTTTTTGCCTTTTGTGCTAGGTATTGAACCTAGGGCCTCAAGTATGCTAAGCATGTGCTCTACCACTGGGCTACATGCCAAGCCCAAAATATCATTTTTATATTTGTTTCTGATCAGAAACTTCCTAAAGCTTCTATAATGAAGCTTGTATAGGATTTACTACATCCAAACCCCATAACAGAAATCAGTATATGTTTTGTGGAAAACAGTCCTGTAACTTTCTCACTTACGGTGAGAGAACACTAAAACATTTAAGCTATATTAACAACATGTCTCCACTGCATACAAAACCTAGGAAAGAAATCCAGGCTAATCCCCTGTTTTCACTGTCTTAAGTATTCAACATTGCCTGTCCCAATTCTGTGTCTTTACTTTCTGTTCCTCTGGAATCTTTCAGTCCACCAAATAAATGCTACTACTCATCTTTTTAAAATCAATTCAGTATGTTAAAACCAATGCATCAGAAGAAAAATACTAGACAAACATAAACCCAATTATTAATTTGGGCAGGTTACTCTCTACACCTCTGTTTTCTCACCTACAAAACAATGATAAGGATATGGCTCAAGCCTGCTTTGTAAGTGCAAAGCACTGAGTTCAAAATCCCAGTCCCACCAAAAAACCAAAACCAAAAACAAACAAAAAAACAAGGATAATATCTCTCCCTCATATAGTTTTTGTTAGAATTAGAAATACTATATATTTCTACCACAAGCCTAGCAGCTGGATGTATAGCTCAGTGGTAGAGAATACGCTTAGCATACACAGGCCCTAGGTTTAATCCCCAGGACCAAAAACAAAACAAAAACAACTAGTGTGGTACCTAGCACACTGATTCTGACTAATGAGTTCAGGATTTACACTTTTGCATGAAGAAAAGACAGTTGTTAATCAACTATACTATGAGAAAGTGACTTCTGAATTCCTTTGTGCTTTCTGCAGGATTAAGAAGGCCCCCAAGATGAACAACTATTTCTAACTTCCTAACTCTCATCAGTGCTTCTAAAAGACCCAAATCTTCATGAGAATTGGCTGGGCCCAACAGTGACAGAGTAGTGGGGTGAGGAAGGCACTGAGTAAGAGATGAGAGCTTCGAGATACCAAGCTAGAGAGAAATTGTGTGTCAGAGAGGTTCCCTTGTTTGTGAAGAGGGAGCCACATGGCAGCTAGGCCCTGAATGCAGCTTCCAGAAGCTGAGAGCATCCCCAGACCCAGAGTCAAAGCGGGAAAAGACAGAGTCTTAAGAGTCACAATCCTGAGACATAGAGGTCAAGACACCTGAATCAGCTTGTTATTAGATCCTTCCTCAGGGCAAGTACCAGACAGGTCACTGATGAAGACCAGTGACTGGAGGCACTATTAGCCCCAAGAGACATTTGGAAAGATGCAGGAATCTTGTTGGGTTTTCTTTCCTACCTCATTTTCCTTTTTTGGTTGTCACAATATCTGGGGTGCTACTAGCATTTGGAGGAGAGTAAGATGATGAATATCTTGCACAAGGAAAAATCTGCTTCATCCAAAATCTAACAGGGCCTCCTAACAAGAAACACTGAGAGGAAAATTATGCTGGAAGCTGGTGATCCCAGTGAAGGAAGGGAGTCTGGCCCTGAGTCTGGCACACTACTGCAGTGAAGGGAAAGAAGAATGCAGTTATCATAATATGTGAGACTAGAAGCTCAGGGTTATAACTTCAGAACCAGACACAAAACAATGGATGGGAACCAGTACTGGAGATGTAGGAGAGCAGCAACCCTGACTCCTGGCCCCAGAATATTTCAGGGAAGCCTGTACAGAAAGAGCAGGCAATCACTACTCAGACACAGGCTGCATTTTGAGGAAAAGCCAAGTTCAGTTAAAGGCAGGTGGGGCTTAGGAGGGTGAAAAGGGTAAGAATGTGGAGAAGTTTCTCTGCAGAGAAGGGGGTTTCCAAGTACCATTAATCATATCTCAACACTGTCTTTTCCCTTTCTTTCCATTCCTGTTGCCCTACCTTCCCCACTCAATAGCTTTCATTTGGGTTCCCATGAAAGCCTCATAAATTGTCTTCAAGCTATCAATCTCTCATCATTCCAATACGCCTTTTACACTGTTGCCAGAAGCATCTTTCCAAAATACAAGTCTGATCATATTAGTCTCCCTATGTGAAAACCTTCAATTGCATTCACTGTTTATCTAAATAAGTCCTAACCTTAGTATAGCATTTGAAGCCTCCATCATCTGGCCCTAACTGAATTGTACCAGTTCCTCCTCCCTTTTGTTTTCCCCACTCCAGACTGCTTGTTTCCTTTGTTTGTGTTCAGCTTCTACAATACTTTTCTTACTCATTTTGCTTTATGTTCAAGCTCGCTGCTTCCATTTCACAAGTCTATCTCTTCTTACTACCAGTGATTCCTAAACTTCCCTGAAGGTAACAATCACCTGGATATTTGCTAAAAACACAAGTTCTTGGGCCCCATCACAGACACAGAATTAGAATTGTTAGAGAGGCCTGGGAAGCTGTGCAAGATTATTTTAAAACATGTTAAAGGGGGTGGGGCAGCAGAATGCTTGTCTAGCATGCTCAAGGTCCTGGGTTTGAGTCCTAGCACCACAAAGAAAAAAAAAAAAAGTTCAAAATATCTTTGTCATTCCATCCATTGGAAGGTGGAGTTAAATTCCTGTCACCCTGAATATGAGCCAGTCTCAGTGACTTTTAAGAAGGGAATGTGGCAAAAGTGATAGCGTATGACTTCTGAGACTAAGGTCATTAACAGGCAACAAAATTTCTAGTTTCCTTCTTCCATTGTTCTCTCCCTCATTTCTGGACATTTGCCTTTGGAACCCAGCCACCAAGCCAAAAAGTCACATGGAATGGCCATGTGTAGGTGTTCCAACCATGGTCCCAGTTAAGATCCCAGATGACAGCTGGCATCGACTGCCCAACTTGTGAGTGAGATTTCAGATGATTATGGCTCCCAGCCTTTGAGCCACCCTGGCTGATGCTAAGCAGAGCAGAGAGAAGCCCTACCTAAATTGAAGATTTCCAAGTGAAATAAATCCTGTCATTATTTTATGTCTCTAAATTTTGTAGATTTTTGTTTCTTTTTTTTGTGATGCTGGGGATCAATCCAAGGCCTTGTGCATACTAGGTAAGTGCTCTCCCATTGAGCTATACTGCCAACCCTTAAGGAAATTTTTTTTTTTTAAGACAGGATCTTACTATGTAGCCCAGGCTGACCTTGAACTCACTATGTAGTCCAGGCTGGCCTCAAACCATTGGTGCTCTACCACTTGAGCCACATCCCCAGCAAGCCTCAAACCACTGATCCTCCTTCTCACCCTCTTGAGTGCTGGGATTATAGGCCTGTACCCTCATACCTGGCAGGATTGGTTGATTGGTTGATTGACTGATTTTAACAGAGCAATAGTTAACTGGAACACCAAATTATTAGCAAGTATTCCAGGCGAATCTTAAGATCAGAAAAATTGGGGGAACTAAACTAATACTGGTAAATTCCTTGAGGTCAAAAAATTAAGTCTTAAGCCAACTTTCTGGACTTGTCTCTGAAATATGTTTATTTCTTTTCTTGCTGAAAAAAAAATACATGTTTGTATTTTTTAAAAGGCTTGTGCAATCTTGCCCCAACCTCCACTCCATCTTAGGTGATACCAGGTCAACGGTTTGGAAGGGCAGTATTTTCCACATAGCAGGTATCTGAGTGAGGTACTTGTTGTTGAAGAAAAGGTGACATTGTAGATTACAGAAACTTCCTGTTGGTATGTAACTGTATCCTAGGTATAGCTCCTAGAATCACTTTCTTCAAATCTTTATCATCTTTATCATCACATCTCATAAATGTGCAATAGCTTCCTATTAATTAACAAATTCTACCAGTGAGGTATATCATCTGTCATAGGCTCCTTCTCACGATGGCATCTCTATCTGCCACTTTGTCATATTATTTACATATTATTACATAGACCAGTCCTTTAACATTTGTTAAGTTAACATTTGTTAAGTCTGTACTACGCTCCAGTCACTGTACTACCCCCTAGGGATATAGAATGAACAGGAAAAGGGCCCTCATATCAAAGAACTTATGGTCTAGAGGAAGGGTGGGCAAACTTTTTCTTAAAGGGATAGATAGGAAATGTTTTGGACTTTGAGGATGATATGATCTCTGTTGCTGTTGTAGTGTGAAAAATAGCTGTAAATAATCCACAAATGGGTATCACCATGTTTTAATAAATCCTTATTTACTAAACTCTATTTACTGCTGGCACTTGAAATATGGCAAGTACAGCTGACAAATTGAATTTTAAGTGCTATTTAAACTCATCTTCACCAGAGGGCCTTCCTGATTAGCTCCTGGCCATGATAGCCATGTTCTCTTATTCTGCATACAGTCCTCATTCCTATTCACTTTGGACTTGATGATGCTTTGCTTTATAATTATGTATTTTTTAAGTATATTTTATGTTTGCAACTTTTTCTTGCCTACACTTAAGGAAAAATTCAAAGACAATATGTCTTCTGACTATTATCATCTGCTTTAGTACTCTGTCAGGGTGCACAAAATTCAGGGGGTACTTAATAAAGCCATTTTAAATTTCACCAATTTCCCTAAAAGTTGGTAATATGTGCTTAAGACAGATGGTCCTTTTGGACCAGGATTAGCACTTACTTTGAGAATATTTCCACAATGGCCGATGACTTATTCTTGTTGACTAAAGAAAGTTCTTTGGCTGTTACCCTCAATGATAGTGAAGCCCATTGTCGTCTATTAAATGGAGTTGATTCCATCTTGTCTACAGACACTGAAGCACCTATGCAATAAAGAAAATCATAACATTAGACATAGGAGAAGATTCCCAAGCATCCAATACTGCCAGCAGTGTGAGAGAAGAAAGGCTAACCTAATAGATCACTCTTCTACCAGTTCTCCCAAAAACTGTAACCTTGGCCAAATGAGTCAACATCTTTGGGCAGAAGTTTCCTGTAAAAAGAGAAGATTAGAACATATGATCCCTAAGGTCCCTTCTAGGTCTCTCATTTTATGACTGACCCTACCGTGCAAACTCGATTGAACTGTCCCTGAACTTAAGTCTGTTCCAAAGTCACATCTGGAGTAAAATCTTCCCATCTTCTGAATTACATCCCAGGGGAGGTACAATCAGCATCTCAGTAGAACCAAACCCAAATCAGGTTCTACCTACATCCAAGTTTCTTTTGGCTACCCTTTCTCATCAACACTTTGCAGTGCTGGTCACTTGGTATAAGGGAGAAATCTGGGGACATTGCATGGCATAATACAAAGAGAAAGGGCTTTAAGGCTAGGCAGACTTCAGTGAAATTATAACTTTGTTATCTTGAACAAGTTAAGAAAATTTGGGACTCAGGATATAGCTTAGTAGTAGAGTGCCGAGTATGGACAAGGCCCTGAGTTCAATTTCTAGTACCACCAAAAAAAAAAAGTAATCTTTTCCGTTTTTGTTTCTTCAGCTGAAAATGAGGATAGTACCGTCTTTCAAGGATTTTAGTATAGATTTAAGGAAATAATATATTCAAAGTACTAGGCCTATTATAGTAGCCTAAAGAGTATTTAAAGGATATTACCATTGATTCTTATATTATTGTAAAGTCTTTTAACAACTGGGAAAGTACAGGGTACTTTAAGTTCATGGAACAAAACCTCTATACTTAAATTTTTTCCTAAAATCCTGTCAAGCTGAAGAATACAGAGTACATAAGATGTACCTTGACATCACTTAGTCTCTACCCATTAACCTGGATGGTTTTTTCTCCCCAGTAATTATCAAAGGACTGCCAACCTTTGTTCAGAAGTGAGATTAGAAATGAGTCAATATTTCCTTATTTGAAGAGTGAAAGTATAGATTAAAATACTGCTTACAGCTCTCTTGACAATCACAGAGCATAACTGACTGGGTAGAATGTATGGTTCATCAGGTACTGCTTCCAACAGCCCTGACAACAGTAGAACACAAAGACACTGTATCAAGCAATGTGGGCTGCCATTTCACATTAAAAGTACCTGCTGCAAAGTAGGCAATAGATAATCCCACAAAACTACACTAGCTTTCCATATTTACTGCTTTGTTCTTCCAAACAAAGCCTTGTCTAATTACAGTTTTGTAGTTTTAGTTGATTTGTTTAATTCCCATGTTGGAAGACAGCATAGTACACAGTAATGCTAAAGAGCTCTAGCATTACAGCCAGATATGCCCAAGTGTAAGTGCTGGCCTCACCACTTAAAGCGGTATACCTTTCCTAAAACTTAGATTTCTCATCCACAGTGGTAGTATTCATATGAGGAATAAATAAGGGGAAGAAGAAATGACATAACGAATAAGTAAACAACAAATGTGGAAGACTAAAAAAAAAAATCTCTTCTTTTTGAAATATTACTTCTGCTCATGTTCTTTGAAATAAACCTGAATGTACCATATAATATACCTATTTTGTATCTGCTTTCCAGCTTGTAACTGACAGACTCACAAAACAAAACGTGGAAGTAACATAATTCAGCTAAACTTCATGATGTAAAATTGCAATAGTGACCCTCTAAGACAAATTTAGGAAATGCTGACTAACAATTTAAGATATAATGTGGCAAAATTAGGCTTCCAATGTGAGTATGGGTATAAATACTGTCACTTCTTCTACAGTGATCAATTCTGGATGAAAGGAAAAAAATACACAAAAGTATGTTCTCAAATCTGTTCATTTAAAAAGGAAAAGCAAAGCTGGGTGTGGTGCTACAAGTCTGTAGTCCCAGCTACTGAGAAGGCTGGCAGGAGAGTTCAAAACCTACCTGAGTGGGCTGGGAGAGTGGCTCCAGTGGTAGAGTGCCTGCCTAGCAAGCATAGGGCCCTAAATTCAAACCCCAGTACCACCAAAAAAGAAAGAAAGAAAGAAAAAAGACCTACCCAGGCAGCATAGCAAGACATCCCAACAAAACAAAACAAAAACAACCTCTCCTCTTCCCCCCCGCCCCGCCTAAAAAAAAAAAACTAAACAGGAAAAGCAATAATTATTTGAGTGACTGAGCATGATAAATAAAAGGAGTCAATTCTCAAGTCTAATCTAAATTCATGGTTATGATTACTCTTGTCCAAAACACCAAGGAAATTCAGAACATCTACCTTGGTCTATGGTTACGAGAAGCACACCTTATACTCAAGGAGCAAGTGGCTACCTCCCTAAAAGATGTATGGAGAGACCCATGACCAAATGGTATTCATAATCTACTGACCTTGCTAACATTGTAACAATTGTAACACAAGGCAGGAAGAATGTGGTTAGAGGCAATTCATGGTAAAGCTTGATGGGAGGGAAGGAAAAAGTTATGTAATTGATTTGGGATTTACAGAATTTCAAAGTGAGGGCATGAGGAAGAAAGTGTATCTGAGGTAGGAGGAACAGCATTAGCACCTTTGGAGAGTGAGTTAGACTATGGGGAAGAGAAGGTGAAAATAAGACAAACTGGGGACAGTCTGAGAAGAGGCATGAAAATCATGCTAAGGAATTTGGGCCATACTCCAACAAGAAAGAACTAGAACTGAGTAACAGAGATGAAGTCTAGTCTTAATGTGCAAATAAAAAAATTTCCCTCAGCCTTGATATTCACATCTGTAAAATAAGAGCTCTGTGGTATATTACCTGCAGTGGAACACAGAAGTTTCTGAAAAGGCAAGTAACAAAATGAACACCATGTTTTAAAAGAACATTCTGCAACAGTATGTAACTTCCTGAGAGCAAGGACAAGTCTAAATTACTAGAAGATCCTAAAACTGTCTGAAGTAATCAAGGTTTAAAGCACAGGAGGTGAAAATGGAAAGCTAGGACGAGAAAACTGATGGTCCAGTAAAATGGACTTAAGGTGAGAGAAGGAATCCAGGGTGGCATCATCCAACATGAATGATTAAAAGGGTGAGGGCAAGCTGGGCACTGGTGGCTCATATCTGTAATCTTAGTTACTTGGGAGGCTAGAATGGGGAGGATCATGATTCGAGGCCAGATCAGGCAAATAGTTTGGGAGAACCCATCTCCAAAATAACTAGGCTTGGCTCAAAGCAGTGTAGCTCCCAATTTGTGAGTGCAAAGCCCTGAGTTCAAACCCCAGTGCCACTAAAACAAAACAAAACATTGAGGACAAATATAGAAAGGAGAGGGGGAATGATAAGTTTTGTTTGCTTTACATATGCAGATATGCATAGATATACACATAACCAAGAAAAACTAAGTGACACACAATAGAAAACTACAAACTCAAACTTAGGTTTGAAATTAGACTCTTAGAAGAAAACACTTTGAAACACTTATTTAGGCAAAGTACAAATCTCATCCTCTTAGATTATCTGCATTCTACTGGCACTTTGCCTATGAAGGAAAAATTGCTGGATTGGTAGATGACTGTATGCAAGAGTTAAAGGAAATACATACAACAAAATAAGGTTTTTTAGCCTCAGACACTACAAGAATAGTGATAAAACAAGTAATAATGGGATGCATAGAAAGGGGAACAGTTTGCTAATGAGGAAGATGCCTTCAGTTGTAGGTATTTACTAGAGATACAACTAGAGACATTTAGAAATTAAGTAACCAAGTCCCCCTCTATACAGTGAGGGAACTGGGCTATATACAGGTCCAATAATTTCCCCCAAATCATTAGCTACTTAGTATTAGAGCTAGAGTTCTAACTCCTAGTTCAGTGTTGTTTAATCAGAACAGGCAGCTTAAGGTGGGACAACTAAACTATACTGAGGGTAAGCTGGGGCCTGGAGATAAGAAATCTTAGGAACAAAGGTCCTTTAAAAGTTTGAGTTCTGGGCATAGACTCATTAGGTATCTGCTTCCTCAAGATATTGCTTAAGGTGAGGTCTGTAGCTGCTCCAGGAAACCTATTCTAATAAATTCATTTATAGGCTCATCTGACCAGGGGAATTAATTGTCCCTCAGAAACCAGGTGGGGACAAAAGCAAACAAGCTGCCACTATAATCAGCTCCTCCCAAAGCCACTAATAACAAAATGCTGTCCTTATAAAGCCCTGGAGTCACTCTTCTTCTCCCCCAACCTCTCTCTTTAGTTTCTGAGCTGATTACCTAAGCAAGCAGTATAGTTGTCTGAACACAGCCACAAAAAATTAGACAGAACAAATCCTACAAACTCATTAAGAGAAAACGTTATTTTTTTAGAAACAGTATAGTTATACAGTTTTTCTATCAACAACTCTTCTCAACTTCAATGTCAAAAGGTTAGAGTACAAATTAATTAAAAGCAAACAAAAAATGCAACCAAAAAACTTCAAGGTACAGCTGGGCATGGAGGCATATGTCCCATGCCTATAATCTCAGGTACTACCTCTACTCCTCACTACACAGGAAGCTGAGCCAGGAGGATGGAAAGTCCAAAAGCCAGCCTTTTTTTTTTTTTTTTTTGGTGGTGGTGCTAGAGTTTGAACTCAGGCTCTTATATACTTGCTAGGTAGGTGCTCTACCACTTGAGCCACTCCCCTAGCCCTCAAAATTTTTATTAAAAAGCCAAGCACCTGTGGCTGATGCCTGTAATCCTAGCTACTTGGGAAGCTGAGATTGGGAGGATCTTGGTTCAAGGCCAGCCCTGGCAAAAAGTTCACAAGACACCCATGTCAATTAATAGCTGGCTGCAGTGGTGTGCAACTGTCATCCCAAGCTACCTGGGAGGCTGAGATTGGAAAGACTGTGGTTCCAGACAGGCCCCAGCAAAAATTTTGCAAGACCCCATCTCAACAAAAGAATAAGTGTAGTGGCATGCATCTCCTGCCCAGTTAAAGGTGGGAAGTGTAAATAGAAGGATTGTAGTCCAGGCCAGCCTAGGCAAAAAGAAAGACCCTATCATCAAAATTAGTGGAGACAAAATAGCTGGTGGCATGGCTCAAATGTTAGAGAACCTCCTTAGCAAGCAAAAAGCCCTGAGTTCAAACCTCAGGACTGAAAAAAAATTTTT